TTTTCATGACATAAGTAATTTAAATATACAAAAAAATTTGTTATAAATTTATATTTAACCACCAAAGTATTTGAGAGGCGTATGTTAATGATGAAGGTGGGTGTGGTTGTGATTGTTTGATACAAAGTATCAAAAATGACTTGTTTTCGTAAATATTTTTATTTTTATTAAAATGAATTCAATTAGTATATAATATAAAATTATATTATACAAGAATTTATGTATACAAGTAATGTTTACATTGACTTATATAAGGGGTGTATGCTCCCCCCCCCCCCCCCTTTTTAACCTTAAAAAAAGAAAAAGAAAATAACAACTACTGTTTCCTAAAGTCCCAAAATAAAGTTTTTTTTCTGTATAAAAAAAGTTTTATAAATTAATAACTGACAAATCCCAAGTATGAAAGGTGAATGTAAAACTCATGATAAATGTGTTGTTGGTGTTTTAACACACCCTAATATCAAAACAAACTTTTATGAAATATCTTATTGGTTATTTAAAGTATAACAAACAGTAAAATAAATAGCTAAAAAATTAAAAAGCTGCATAATACACAAAATCAAACTATATTTCTATATATACACATAAAAATACACATTAATCTCATACCAATTATTGAAGTAAGCTATGCTAAAGAATTAAAAAGGAGTAAGTAGTAACAATAGTTTACTAAAATAGATTTAATTTCAACTTTCACTTTTTGTTACAACATCTTTTGTTATCAATAAAGTAAACATCTTTACAATGTATCAATAGTCTTTAGTTAAACAGGACCTCTGAAAAGCTCATGACATCATATAAGTAATTAGAAATAAAGGAGAGTCGTCCAACTTTAATACTGTGATCAGAACAATATGATTTATTAATTTTAAAAATATTTCCAGATAAACCATATAAAGCCAGCTTATAGAGAAGACCAACATTAAACAAAAGTTAGTCGTTGTTCTCAATTATAATTATATCTTAAACAAAGTTAGTTTCTAAATGAAATAACAATAAGCGTAAACAACAACAATATAAAACAATATAAAAACAAGAAATGACTAATGTCACTATTTCTACATCCCCTTCCATGTTTTTAAGTGTCAATACATATAAACATTTCTGGGTTCATTTCTTAAAGTCATCTAATGTCAAAGATTTCCTGGTTTCTGGTTGGTAGAATTTCTTGGGGATGCGTAGCCTGGATGAACGTTTCAATGGTTGATCTCCTACAACTTCAGTATTTAATAAGGGTGGCATTGCTAGATGCGGTGAGCTTGTTGATAAAGATGCTGGCATCAACGGTACTGGAGTTGTTGGTAGAGGTAGTGGTGGTACTGCTGGTGCTAATGTAGGAGGCGGTAGCAATACTGTAGATATGCTAGTTCCGGTTGGGATGGTATGACTTTGTTGCTACTTTCTGGGACATACTCTGTAAATGGTGTTGGCGAATCGGCAGAGTTATAGTGACTAGAGCTTGTTTTTGGTGGTGCGGTCAATGCAACTTCAGTTTCGTATGACTTTAGTGGGTTGAGGAATTTGTGCAAATATTTTCTATTTCTCAATGTTAGTCGACCTGTTCCTTCAACCTTAATGATGTATTGGTCATTTTCCTTACATTCAACAACTTTTCCACTACGATACCATTTTTTAGGGTGGTTCCCTACTTGATTTTGTATGAAGACACTGTCTCCTTCGTGTAGTGGTGTGAGGAAACGTGTGTGTTCTTGAAGTGATTCAAGGGTCTTTGCATATCTTGTTCGTAATGCTTCTTCTTTTGCAGACCATGCATGTCTCCACGTTTTCAAGAATTGGTCGTTATTAAACATAGGTATTATGGATTTTATCCTGGGCATGGCGTCGCGAATGGGATGGCCAAATAATACTTGAGCGGGGGATAACTGACAGGTAGGGTCTGGTGTGTTTCTTATTGTAAGCATTGCCCTTACAAAAGCGTTATTATTGAGATCACCATTTGGTCCCACATTATTTTCAAGGAGGCTGTATGCTGTGAGTGATACCTGGCCAGAAAACAGTGGCTTGAGCTCTGGTTGTCATTCCCGATACTCCTTGGTGGGCTGAGTGTAGTACGTCCAATATCTCTTTCCGTAGAGTAGGTGGGATTACAATTCTGTCGTTGTATATTATAACTTCGTTGGACACCATCAAGTCATTGCGGTATTCCCAGAACGGTAAAAGATTTGGTATGAAGTTATTCTTATTTTTTGGGAAACCGTTTTCTTTTGCTAACATTAATGCTTTAAAATCGGTATCCTTTTCTGTCTCTGCTTTGACACTATCCCATGTTACTGCAATCATTTTATCTATGTCGTTTTGTATCGAGGCTATTATTAGTGATTCTGTGTTGTCAAAATCGGTATTTTGATTGCAAGTGGCTGAATTAACAGATTCCTTTGTGTTTTCTGCAGGGTAACGAGAAGTAGCATCTACTGCCAGGTTTGTTTTTCCTGGTTGATGTTGAATGGTAAATTTCCATGGCAAAGTTTTCTGTTTTAGTTGGAAAAGTGGCGTGTTAGCAATTTCATCTAAGGTCCTATCTCCTAATAATTTTACAAGTGGTTTATGATCAGTTACTACCATAAGGTTATCACAACCTTGTGTGAAATATATAGTCTGCTCCAGGCTCCATGCCACTCCTAACATTTCGCCCTCAACTGGTGCATATCGTTGTTCAGCAGATGACAGGAATCTGGACCCTGCTAGGGTTATTTTCCATCCGTCTATACAGCAATCTGGGGAGTCCAATTTACATTCACAATGTTTTTGGCTTAGGTAATATCCTATCCCCAATTTTGACCAGTCGCATCTTAAACAGGTCTTCTTGGTAATGTCAAATATTTGGACTCCATCTTTAATTGCGTCGATGATTTTTTCCTTTGACACGTTGAATAAAGTGTTGAGTTCGTCCGACTAATAAAATTTTGATTCAGGGTTAAGCAGAACTCTGAATGGGGCCATAGTTTCTCGAAGTTGAGCATAATGTGATACTTGGGTCACTAAGCCGAATCAAGATCGGATGTCTGTTATTGAGGATGGTGTTGGAAATGATCTAATGGCGTTGGAAATGATCTAATGGCGTCGATATATTTAGGTAGTGGTTCAACTCCATTTTCAGATATTCTGAAACCTGCAAAATCCACTATTCTTTTAGCAAATTGGAATTTTTTTGGGTTCAAAATGATCCCAGCTTTGCCAACAAGCTCAAGAAATTCGATTGTCCGCCACCAATGTTTGACTAGGTTGTCATTGTAGTGGATGGTGTCATCTACACATCTTTGTTTGCCAATAAAGTCTGCTAAAATTTCATCGAAACGCCTGTTGTAGCCATCCCCACTAGATACAAAACCTTGAGGAGCTCGGATGTATCTGTATCACCCAAAAGGATGGAAATCGGGATGCTATGATAACCATTCCATGCGTCGGTTACAGTTTTCCATGAATTTCTTGGGACTGAACGAGCTAGTTGGAAAGGCGATTTCATTGCATGAGTTTCTCTGTAGCAGTACTTGTTTAAAGGAGATAGATCAACAGTGCGACGAGGCCCACCGTCATGCTTACGTGTGATAACTATTCTATGATACCATGTTGTAGGTTCTCCTAGAGGTAATTTTTCAATAACTCCAAGAGTTTCATCACAAATTAAATCCTTTTCCACCTGGTCTTGCCAATGGATTGGTATGGTGGCTGGAGTAAATGCTGCAACTGGTCTGGCATTTTCTTGAATTAAAATACTTATTGGAGGTCCCTCCATATCAGGTAAAATCTGGTGTGGACATGTGTTGAATGTTGAAGCAGAATATTTCTCAAGTAGCCACGCTTTCATCCATTCGTTGTTTTCAGGACAGCAGACAAATGGAAGTTTGGTGGGTGCATCTGCTGGGAGACTTCTTTTGGGGCAATTGCACACATGTGAGCTATTATTTTCACTGGATGTTTTGGTCCCCATAGTTTGGGGGCCTGAGTTTATAGCTCCGTGGAGGGTACTGCCTATCTCTGGAAAGTCCTTAGAGATGATACCCAGTTGGGTCATTGCTTCTTTAGATAGGTAGAATCCGTTTGCGTCTGGACTTACGTAAACCATTACTGCACATTCAACTTTGTGGCCATTAGATTGTCGTCCTTCGAGACGTAAAAGAATTGCACCATCTATACAAAATTGGGTTTTATTTGCTGCCAACATGCTATGTTTCACAGGTATTAAATTGTTTGCATTAAAGCCTGCACTGTCAAACCCTTTCCTAGACCATAAGCAGGACTGTGCACCGGTATCTGTAATAACTTGTATATATTTTGGTATAATGGGAGGAAATGGAATACCAAATGTGACATATTCTGATTTGTTAGTAGTCACACGCAGCTGAATTGTAGGATGAACAAGTAATTGAGCTGTGGCCCATCCATCATGGGTAAATATGTGATGGTTTATTCCTGTGCAGGGTCGTTTCACATTGGTCTTCATTTGTGATCTAATTTTTTTTTTTGAATGCTCAATTGCATTTAACTTTAACACAAGTCCTGCCTCAGCATCTTTGGTTGCATTCGATTTCTTATTATTTGGGATGATTCTGTTGTTAATTTTAGAAGTGCGAGATCTGTGCTTCTTCCAACAGTCTAGACACAGCTTGTGGGGTTTTTTGTTCCATCCTCTAGATGTTTCTGTAAACAAACTGTAAGATTCTGAGCAATCTGGACATTTGGCTGTTATATTGGTCCCTTTACTACTCTGTGTATTGCTCTTGTTTTGTTTCCTGAAAGTTGATACACTTGCTGTTGTTGAACTACAGCCTAGTGCATTTCGTGCCATTTCCTTACCCTCTATAAAAGCAATGATATCTGTGACTGAGGCTGTGTCGAGGGAGACCCATCCAAGTACATCTTTGCGGATGTCAGTGTCTGATAGCCCAGCAACAACAATGTCTCGTATGATAACATCGGTAAAATCACCAGTTGTTTGTGGGTGGCAGTGGCATTGTACAGTGTAGTTGCAAGTAGCAGTCTTGCCTTTCAGTTTTGCATAAAATGACCGAATACTTTCGTTGTGTCCCTGTCTCATTTGAAGGAGTTCTGCTCTTCTTACGCTAGTGGCTACTGGGATAACGGCCAGTTTTTTCATTGCTTTTAGAAATGCCTCATCGTTTTCATTAATTATCATGGGATTTTCTTTCAGGAGTTGATTTCCAAGGTCGTTCTCACAGCACTGAAACAGCTGTGCTGTCATCTCTTCTTGTCTGATGTCTGTACATCTCTTAAACAATGTCCAGCGACTAGTAAAGTTTGTCCACTCTTCTTCTGAGATATCCTGACCAAAGTGGGGGCGATCCATTTTAGGTGCCTTGTGTTTTGAGAAGGCTGAATGAATGTCAATCGATTTTGGAGGATGGTGAAGCTGGTGACTGTTGAATAATGCAATTGCAATTGCTTCGCTGGGACCTTCAGTGACGACATTGCATCCTGGGGCCTGGCAAGGTAAGCTTATTGTGGACATAATGTAGGAAAGAATAAGGTTAGCAAAATCCTACCTTTTGTGTGTACATTAACAACTTCAAATGAATATGTAAGTCAATTACAATTTCAACCACTGACAAAAAGTTTTTATCTTTGAAATACCAGTGTTTCTTTAAAATTCCATAGAATGAATAAGAAACTAGCATAAACAAAAGTTAGTTGTTGTTCTTAATTATAATTATATCTTAAACAATGTTAGTTTCTAAATGAAATAACAATAAGTGTAAACAACAACAATATAAAACAATATAAAAACAATATAAAAACAAGAAATGATTAATGTCACTATTTCTACAAACATTCCAGACTTTGGTTGTTGTCTCACTGCTTCCATCTAATACTCAATGGTATCTTTCTGTTAACAATTAGGTTAACAAGTCAGCAATATACAAGAAGATTGAAATCCATATTGTAAAATGTTAAACTTGAAATAAAATTAATCTCTTAAACCATTGAAATTGTTACTTTATTAAACTTACAAATTTGCTGCCTAAACACTTTAAAAACCAATTTATGAATGGTACTGTACTTGATGAGTCATCTACTCTTCATCTTCTAGGATTACCTCTTACTTCCGATCTTTCTTGGAAACCATATATTAAATTTGTTGCAAATTTAGCATCTGCTAAGGTTGCATCTCTTTATCGAGCTTGAAACTTTCTTACTCCGGATTCTATTCTCTATCTCTATAAATCTCTAATCTATCCTTGTATGGAATACTGTTGCCGTATCTGTGGCGGATCTTTTAATGATTATAAACATAGTTGGACCTGCTCTTGCAGACAACCTTCAACTATTATCACATCGTTGTAAAAATGCTTCTCTTTCTCTTTTTTACAAATACTATAATTGGCACTGCTCTAAAGAGCTAGCTACTCTTGTGCCATCTACTAAAATTCATTCTCTTGTTACTTGTCATTCAATCAAGTCTCATCTTTTTCTGTGATTATTCCTAAGTACTCCAAACGCTCTTATTCCTCTAGTTTTTTTCCTTGAACATCAGTTCTTTGGAATTTTCTTACTTAATCTTTCTTGATTCATATAATTTCCAATTTTTTAAGTCATCTGTCAATTGTTATCTTGCTCTTCAATCTTCATCTTTTCTCCAGTAACTTCCATCTCTAATTAGTGGTTGCTTGCAGTCTTGTTGGAAGCAAAGATGTTTTAAAAAAAAAGAAAAATATTTTAAGTTATAACATTTATTAAAAAAATAAATTGTAACAATAAAAAAAAAAAACTTTTTAATTACTAAACAACTAAAATAGTTCAAACATATCTAAAGTCTCTGACATATCGAAGGCATCTAAAATATCTACTATCTACATATCAACATATCTAAAAGCATCTAAAATCTATTATCTAAAATACAATTAAAAACATATGTCTAGATATATCTTTCAACATATCTAAGGCTTTTGACAAAATTTAGTATGCTGGTCTTCTCCATAATCTTATGAAACAGAATTATGGAGAAAACCAGCATGCCAAACATTGTCGAAAACCTTAGACATCTGGAAAGTTAGGTGTATCTAGGAAAGTTTTTGAGATTATCAAATAATTTTTTTCTAATAGCTTTATAAAAATCATCCTCGAAGACCAACACTTTTCTTTTTTTCAGTGACTTCTGGCCTACTTCAAGGTTTTATCCTTGGTCCTGTTTTGTTTCTTATCTACATTAATGATCTTCCCATCAACCTTACATCTAAAGTAGCTCTTTTTGTTGATGACTCAACTTTATACTCCTGTCTTGACAAAAAGTCTTCTTTTTCCAATCGCTTAGAACAGGCAGCTGATCTTGAATCTAATCTCACTTCTGTAACAGAATAGGGCTTACAGTGGCTTGTAAATTTCAGCTCCAACAAAACTCAGTTATTTACTGCAAACAACTATTACAGTACTGTCGGCATTCCTATATTAATAAATAGCAACCCTCTCACTGAGTCCTCTTCTTTACGTTTTCTTGGATTATGGTTTACTACTGACCTTTTATGGAAACCATATATTCAATCAATTGCTAAACTAGCAATTGCTAAGGTTACTTCTCTTTATCATGCTTATCATTTTCTCTCTCCAGATTCTAAAATTGCTGACCTCGTTTCTATGTTTTATAATCAGATCTTTGTATCAAATAATTTTTGCCGACCTGATGCCAACCTCAAAACGATCGAGGTCAGCAAATTATTGCCGACCTCATTTTTCCTAATTCTGAGGGTTGTACTTGAGTTGGTGCTTCTAATGATACTCTTTCTCTTCTAGACAAGTTCCAATAGCACATTTTAAATGTAGTTGGACCCGCTTTTTTCCATCGTCGTAAAGTTGCATCTCATTCTCTTTTCTATAAATACTATCATGGTTGCTGCTTGAACTGTTCTTCAACTGTTCTTCTGGTTTAAAATGAAGTACGAGTTTAGTATCAATTGTGTGTACAAAGATTTACTACTTAAAGAGCTTATCAATGAACCAACTGATTATAGAATAGTTTTTCATGAGAATAAAAACAATTTCAAATTGCTATTTATATATTTAAACACGCAAAAAAAAATTGTTGGCTTCTTTATTTATTAACATTCTCATATTAGAACTGTGTGCACATAATAATAAGTTTTTTAAAAGTTTAAGCTTTAAATTTTTAGGCTCAATATTCTAAAATGTAAATCTGTTTTTATTTAATGGAATCAATTTTCAAAAACTAGTCATTTAACAGTTTATCCCCCTTTTAACGATATTTTCTTAATTTTGCAAAAATTCGATTTGCTTAACTGGCATAAAATAACGTCTGTTTTAGTTAACCTTAAACATTTAGGTAAGATTTTTCTGTTTTTTTAATAGTCCAACAATGTGTAAATTTAATAATAAATATCGAAAATATATTCTTTCTGAATTCTTTTTGATAAAGTAACATCAAATTACTAATATTTAGCCAAGTTGAACATTTGCCGCATTTATTCTAAAATTAAAGAAGTTTTTTAATATATTTGTGAAACGTCATCAAATAAAACATTTTATTGGTGTTTTTATTCTTTTTACAGAACAAAATTATCTTTAATGTTTCAAAAGTTATAAAAGTTTTAGTAACACCGCTTACGTGGATATTTCCTAAAAATAACAAAAAGCCGTAAAGCTCGCTTGAAACAGCCGTACCCAGCCCTTAACGTGGGAGCAACAAGTTGATAAAATAATTTTTTTAGAATTTTTATCTAAGTTTATATTCATCAACAAGTTTCAAATTTCATCCAATAATTTCTTATTTTTCGAAAATTATGACCATATAAAGTTTTAAACCCCCTCAATTTGAGGGGGCTGTAAACTTTGTAGGGTCATAAAAACTAAAAACTAATAGATTATTGCATGAAATTTGAAATTCGTTGATGAATATAAACTTAAATAAAAATACTAAAGAAATAATTTTGTCAACTTATTGCTCCCACGTTAAGGGCTGGGTGGGCTGAAATTTAGGAGTTTTTTTGTCCCCAAACTCAAATCACCACAACTTTTTGCAAAACATTCTCATTTGCATAAGTATGAACATACAAGTTTGGAGTTTGCAAAATACGTGTAAGTGTCAAAACTCAAACATCTAAAAATCCAGTGTACACCACTGATATGTATGTATATATATATATATATATATATATATATATATATATATATATATATATATATATATATATATATATATATATATATATATATATATATATATATATATATATATATATATAGATATATATAGATGTGTATATATATATAGATGTGTATATATATATATATATATATATATATATATATATATATATATATATATATATATATATATATATATATATATATATATATATATATATATATATATATATATATATATATATAGATGTGTGTATATATATATATATATATATATATATATATATATATATATATATATATATATATATATATATATATATATATATATATATATATATATATATATATATTCATATATATACAAACATATATATTTGTATATAAATATGTATATCTTTTTTGTAGAAACTTCAAAATGGAACAATATAATCCACATCCAAAGAAAGATAATAACATTCTTTATAGCCAAGAGTTTAGATTAAATTTTAGTGAAAGCATCGGAGTAAATTGGAAAACACTTGGTCGTAGATTAAATATTGAAGACAATTATTTAGATATGATTGATCAAGATAATGATAATAAAACCAATGAAAAAGCTTATTCAATGTTAACTTCATGGATCCAAATGAATAAAAATCCAACACTTGAGGAGTTAAAAACAGCTTTGAACAACATGAAGAGATTTGATCTTATAAGAAAAATTGACGAATTTATAAGTAATTTTTTTTTAATGACTACAAGTTAATAATTTTTTTTTTGTAAAAATATTTACTTTATTTACTGTAAAAACTTTAATTTAAAGAATATCATTTACAACACACTGCTTTTAATATCTGTACAGATTAAAATGGTAAACATAAATTTGTTGTAAACATATAATTTGTATTTTGTTGTTTATTGCAATTATGTTCTTTTTATAAAAGTAAGCTTTGTTGCTTTTTTTTTGTCTTATTTTTTTGGAAGTTGTAAGAATTCTTTTAATTCCAGCACTTATGTCTCGTGCATTTAACAAATTTTCAGTATCCATTGTAATGTTGCAGTTCTAAGATTTTACAGATTTCCACCATTCTATTGGTAATACCTTTTTTAAAACTTAGTCTTAAAAAAATTATTAGCGTACTAAAAATATTAACAGTGTCACTTATTTTAGTTTGATCTCTTTACAATTTTCATGAGCGACTAATTTCTTTAAAACAACAATAAAATTTAAGAATAAATTCTATTGTTGTTATAAAGAAATCATTCTGGTTATACTCTAATCAAATTCAAATTAAAGATATATTAAATAAATTTGGTCTAAGATTTTCTCATATAGATAAAAGATATTACTGACCTTGTGATGAAGCAGAAGTGATTGCTTCACGTATATGAAACACGCCCGTAAATGGTATTCCGGCAGTGACAAATAGTGCTTGCTAGTTTCATTACGAGAGTAAAAAATCGCTCTTGCCTGAAGAACTTTTTTTTTTTAGTTTTATTTTATTTGCATTCACTCCCAACAAGGCTGCAAGCAACCACTATTAGATTGGGAGTTACTAGGAAAAAAAAGAACAGAGTTATAGAGTAAGGAAACGGTTGATAGAAGACTTGAAAAGTTGAATTAATTTGAGGGGGTTATAAATTTTATATGGTCATAATTTTTGAACGCTAAATTATTTTACTATGAAATTTAAAATTTATCAATGAATATAAGTCTAGTTAAAAATAGTGTAAAAATTATTTCATCAACTTGTTGCTCTCACGTTTGGGGCAGGGGGTAAAAATTTTGGGGCTTTTTTGTTCCCAACCTCCAATCATCGCAATTTTCGCAAAGCACCCTTATTTGACATAAGTATAAACATATAAAAGTTTGAAGTTTGCTCCATGTCTGGAAGTTAGCAATCTCAAAGACCAAAAAGTGCAGGATCCGCCCCTGATAGTCCAAGTAATAAAATATCTAAACATACAACACTTTAATGAAAAAAAAATTAAATATCTAACGCAATATTTATAAATATCTAGCGTAATATTTATAAATATCTTATAAATAAATATCTAGTTTAAAAAATTTATCAAGTTAAAACTTCACTTATAGCTTTGATTTTGTACAGGTTTGATCACATTCTATTAATTAATGACTATTATATATTAAATTCAAAAACATCAAAATTTTAGAATATCAAATATTTTTTGTCAAATATAAATTAATAAATTAAATCTTTTCACTGATTAAAGTTTAACTGTTAAGTCTATTCTTTTGCTTTATTGTTTTTAATTTTTTATACATCTTTTGTAATAAAAGAAATGTTCTTAATCTTTTTATTTTTTTTATTTTTAAATGTTATTTATTTTAAATTAAATTAAAAATGTATCTGTTATTTAGAGTGACCGCCATCAAGCATGTTAATTTAACTCTATTAGAAAACAATGTTTTCATATTATGTTATTTTGTCAACTTTTAGTAAATGGCGATATTTAATTGTATTTCTTTAATGTTAAAGCTGCAGTAACTTCAATATTTTAGATAGACAAATGCATGAACTAAAAAACCAAAGCATTTTCGTCTGATTTCCCGGACTTCACATGAAAAAAATTCAAACAAAAAATCATCTACTCTTTTCCTTGTACAGGCTGAAATGCTTTAGAGTGACCCCCTCCTCATACTTGCGTACATAATTTGTGGCTGGCGCTATTGCAACCAATTTCCAACTCTGAATATCCCTCTTGAAATCTTTATGCCAAGCCTGCATAGTTGCGCTGGTTGATAATGTGCTTCAGTATTCAAAAATTATAAAAACCAGTAACTAAAAGAATTAAAATAAATCAATACAATCTTCCATACAACAATCAATTATATATACATAGTTACAGTTACAAACAGTAATAAACTGACAAATTTGTATAATAATACTACAGATACTTAAAAACCAGATGTTTTAAAATGTTACATTTAAATTTATTTTAAAAAGCATTTCACAAAATGACAAAAATGATCAGTGATGTACATTTCTTACATAAGAACACAAAGGGGTGTACATTTCTTACATAAGAACACAAAGGGGTGTACATTTCTTACATAAGAACACAAAGCGGTGTGCATTTCTTACATAAGAACACAAAGTGGTGTACATTTCTTACATAAGAACGCAAAGTGGTGTACATTTCTTACATAAGAACACAAAGTGGTGTACATTTCTTACATAAGAACACAAAGTGGTGTACATTTCTTACATAAGAACACAAAGTGGTGTACATTTCTTATAACAACAAAATAAGTCTTTCTTATGTAAAACATTTATTATTTGTATAATAATTTTTGTTTTGTAATATAATAATAAAAAAATATATTGTAAGTATAATAAACAAATAACGAAAATATAAACTAAAAAACACTAATTATACATAAAATTAAGGTTAATAAAGGTAAAAAATGTATTAAAGAAAAGAGAAGCAATAGAATCTTCATTTTCAATTCGCATAAATTTGAATGACTGATAATATGTAAAATAAAACATTTACGTAGCATATATAAAGATAGCGAAAGAGAGAGAATTTTTCAAAAAGCTTAAGTTTTCTAAAAACATCAAAACATTGAAAGAAATTTGTTACACATAAGTCATGATAGAGATAATTTTATTTCATAATATGATTTAGTTATTAGTTATGATATTTGCATAATAAACACACATTAAAGAGACAACTTTAATACCTATAGAAAAAAAGATTTTACATTCAAACTTTTATTTTCTTTAAAAGTAATTAATGTGGCTAGGGATCTAATAAACAGTGAATGGTTAAAAATTTTTTTTTTTTTTAAACTTATTTGAAAGTTAACTTAAGTTTATTAAGAATAATGAAAATATTAAATTAAGTCTTAAAAAAGAAAAAAATTAATAAATCCCTTTTTTTATATATAGAAGTTTATGGTTTTACAATGAGAAGTCATTAAACATTCGTTACTCAAAATAAAGATGCAAGATTAGTTTTTTACATTAAATATAAATTAAAAAACTTTATAAAATGGTATATATGAATTAGTATAAAAGAGATGTTGGTGCAATTTTTAAATAAAAGTAAAATTGTAAAACTTGATATTATTTTTAACATTACATAATTTAAAGTTTACGTGACCAATGAAAACCTTGATGAAAAAATAACTGTAATGTAACAAAAATTGATAATCCAGCATGTGCCCACAGTTACAACCTATAGAAGATTTCTGGTCAATCCTCAAATGCTACATGTATGAAAATAATTGGGAAGCTAAAAACAAAGACCAGCTGCAAAAATGAATTTATTCTTGTTTAAAAAAAGTTGATAAAAATCTTGTACAAAGCAAGTGCAAACATGTATACAAAAAAGTTGGTGCAGTACTTTGTAACGGCGAGAATGCATTGTTTCAGTCCCCTAAGTAAAAAATTAATATATTGCTTACTATTCTGTACAAAGTTTTTGTTTATTAAACTTTTATTTGTACTATTACTTCTTGTGTTTATTTTGTGTCAAATTTTTGTCACCATGAATTAAAACTAGGTTTAAATATTTATCTATATCAAGAACTTTTCTTTTCTTTTATCTTATCTTTTTTCTTTTCTTTTTTTCTTTATTTCTCAGCACAACTTTCACATTAATGTTATTTTTATTTATCAGCACAACTTTAATGTTTCTTAGATTATTTTCTTTAAAACTGTAACTTATGTTATTTAAATAATATTGATTATAATTAACTAACTAATTGAAGTTTCTTAGAGAATTTTACTCTTCCTTGGAGAAATTTATTTCTTTTCTTTTTTCTTTACTTTTTTTTTCTTTTTGTTTATTTTCTCAGCACAACCTTAGCATTAATTTTTATATATATATATTTTTTCTTTTTATACCTTTATCTGAAATTTGACCTTAATGTTTTAGATGATGTTCATAGGCACCCCTAACAGTCTCTGTTTATTATTTTTTTATTTATTTTGTGAAATGTTTTTTTTGTTATGTAATTACTTCAATATATCATTTAGAAACTTCAAATTTACCAGAGAATTCTACCAAATATTCTGCCAGCAAAGGTAATTTTTGTGTTAATTTGTTTAAAAAAATTACCATATACTAGTTTTCAAAATGATTGTTAACAATTGAGTTTTAGTGGGGTTTGTTTGCATAAAGAGGTTAAAGTTTCTTTAACTAATCCAAAAATGACTAAAGTACCAAAAACTATAAAACACAAAAAACCATCATCATTATCAAGTTCTCTAAATATGTCATTCACTAATATTTGTGGTCTTTGAAGTAATTTTTCTTCTATTGAGTCTTACCTCTTGCAAATTCCACAAGACCTGCTTGCTCTTTGTGAGACTAATTTGAGTTTGGCTGTCTCATCTTGTGATCTTAGTGTTGATGATTATTTTCCTTTAATTTGTTGACTCCAATAGTCACATGCTTGGCCTGGGCATCTACATTCTTAAAATTCATCCATTTGTCGGGAAACTAGATTTGAATGCATCAAATATTCTTTTATAAGCTTTCATACACCATTACTTCACTCTATTGCTTTTCTTCTTTTACCAACACTTCACTCTATTGCTTTTCTATTTTGTTAGATTCTCGTGACTTCTGAAAAATATTTAATAGTATTAATAATAAGGGCAAATCTGTTATTCCAGCTCTCTTGTATGGTTCAGATTTTGTCACCTAAAGACAAAATTCTACCTAATATAGTAGACAAACAGGTTGATCCATTGCTTGACAATAATATCATTCCTGCTTCTGTATCTAAAGTGATTTTCTTCCTAATATCTTCTACAGCTTGTGGTCCGGACAACATACCTGTTATAGTCTTGCAGAAGTGTTTTCCAAAGCAGTCCTCTATACTTTCAAAACTATTTAACAAGTGCTAATCAGAGTCTTGTTTTCCAACTTGCTGGAAAGTGGTATCTGTTATCCCTTTTTTTAAAAACTCTAAAGAGCGATCTGACTCGACTTACTATAACTCCATAAGTCTTCTTCCTATCATAAGCAAGGTTTTTGAATCTCTGAATTACAAACATTTAATCTCTTATCTTGAATCTAATAACTTACTTTCTGATCATCAATTTGGATTTCTACCTGTTCTAGAGCTAATTTGCTAACAGTATTGACCGATAGGTTTTTATCGCTCTTGACATTTCTAAAGCTTTTGATAAAGTTTGACATGTTGATCTTCTTCGTAAGCTTTTTTACGGTTGGTCAGGTAACATCTTTAAGTTTATTGAATCTTTCTTTTTCAATTGTAGTATAAAAGTTGTCCTCTATGGACAGCACTCTTCTTCAAATCCTGAAACTTCAGGGTTTCCTTAAGGCTCTATCCTTGGCCCTATATTCTTTTTAATTTATATTAACAATCTTCCAGACATTCTCACATCTAAGGTAGCATTGTTCGCTGATGACACTACCATTTATTCTTGTCTTAATAAGAAACTAACACTCTCTGATTGCTTGGTGGGAGCATTTAAGCCCGAAAGGGATTTTACTTTTGCTACAGCATGGGGCTCACTGGCTGGTGAACTTTAATTCAGATAAAACCTATTTTTTTTCAGCCAATAACTTAGATCTTCCTATATTAATGAATGGTAATGTACTCAATAAGTCATCTACCCTTCATTATCTAGGATTAACTCTTCCGATTTTTCTTTGAAACCATATATCAAATCCATTGCAAAATTAGTATCTGTTAATGTTGCATCTCTTATCATGCTTGACACTTTCTCGCTTCAGATTTTATTCTTTATCTCTATAAGTCTTATATCCGTCCTTGTATAAGGCACATCTTTCAATGATGCCCTTTCTCTTTTAGACAAAGTGCAAAAATGCATTGTAAACATAGTTGGACCTGCTCTTGCAGCCAACTTCCAATCAATACCACATTGTCATAATGTTGCTTCTCTTTATCTTTTCTATAATTACTATAATGGGCTCTGCTCTAAAGAGCTAGCTTCTCTTAAAATTTATTCTTGTGTCACTCGTCATTCAACTAAGTCTTGTTCTTTTTTTCTTTTCTGTGACTGTTCCTATGTACTCTTATTTTGCAGCCTTGTTGGAAGCAATGATGTTGAAAAAAACAAAAATTTGTCCTACATATCCTCCTTGATCCAGGCGAAAATGTAAGCTTTTATTCCTTCTTGTTTCTTAAGTCAAGCCTCATTCTAATCTATGGTTTTCATCTTCTTTTGCAGGTGCTATATCTAATCGTTTTTATTTTTTTAATCTTTTTCCAAAGAGCAACTTTCTTATAAACAAACACCTATTTGCTATTGCAAAAAAACAATCTAAAAAGGTGCTAAGCTCCATTTTTCCCTGTTTACTAAATCTCATATCTCAGAAGATAGGCTATAGAGAATTTTAGAAAATCTTGAACAATGTCATTAACAAAGGTAGGTCTAACATTTTATCTCTCATTTATGGGGCTACCATAATGGGATTACCTCTTCTAAAGATAAGGTTGCACTATTTGCAAAGAATTTTTCTTTCAATTCGACTCTTGAGTCTTCCCTCGGTTCCAGTTAAACAAGTTAACTCATTGGTAGAAATTCATATCACTCTAACTTCCATTGCTAAAGTCATATCTCAGTTGAACTTTTTTACCGCTTCTCATTTAGACATTCTGGCTGTAGTCTTGCAAGAGTTTTCTTCAGAACTCTCTTCAATTCTCTCTAAACTATTTGTTAAGTGCTTGACTGATACTTTTTTTCCTGCCTGCTGGTAAACATCGAAATCCCTGTTTTACTAAATTCTGTAATTTGACTCAGAAGTTAGACTCAAGAAACTTTTGTAAAATTTTCAACATCGTCAACATCGATCTAATTACCTCAATATTAATGTCCACATACAGATTTTTCACCATTACTTTTGATGACCCAGGTGTGAAATGGCTGATATTAGAATGCACAAACATTTTTTTTCCATAAATTTTATTTTTCCATAAATTGTAAGATAATGACTTTTAAGTGCTGTGCATATCTCAGATATATTTAAATACGATAACTCATATCGCATAGCAGATGTTTTTTGAATTTAAAATGATTTTTCTTTAACAGGAAAGTCAAATGATTTTATGTGTGAAAGACAAACAACAACTTTAATAGTTGAATTTGATTTAAGGTCTTCAAATGTACTACATGCACTACTTTGTGGATTTGACTATTTCATAGTAGTTTTTGCTAAAGCTTATTTATGGACAGAGTATACGACAGGAAAAGTTTTTTGTTCTTCTTCAAGGCAGAAAGCTGATAAAGACTAATATTTCAAATCAACATAAATGAATATCAGCTGAACAATATGATTTTTTTATTGTCTACTTCTTATTCACCAGTTATTTACACCATTATGTTCACCAGTTTTAGTTCTATAAATTAAAAAAAATTTGACTTTTTTCTATTTATTTTTTAAAAAATAAGTAAAACAGTAATTACAAAACTTTCAGTAAACATACTTTTAGTTGTTTAGTAATTGTATAGTTTTTTTTTTAATTATATTTATATTATATATATATATATATATATATATATATATATATATATATATATATATACATATATATACATATACATACATATATATATATATATATATATATATATATATATATATATATATATATATATATATATATATATATATATATATATATATATATATATATATATATATGTGTGTGTATATATATATATATATATATATATATATATATATATATATATATATATATATATATATATATATATATATATAATTATTTATTAATAATTTTTAAAAATAGTTAAGAAAGTTTTATTAAAAATTATATAAAGTTTAGCAAGTTAAATGAATATAGTTTAAAAAACATACAGGCGACTGAACACAGTACATAGTGAATGTAGTAGATGAAAACCACACCAGAGCTTTTACAAAACACAAATATACATATTTTACAAAACACAAATACACAAATATAAAGTAACTTACAGATGAACTTGCACTGCGCCAGAGGTCCATACAAAACACAAACATACAAATATATAAAGTGAATTACAGATGAACCAACACCATGCCAGAGGTCCATACAGAACACAAACAATAAAAATTAAAAAGCCTACTCACCTTTTTATATTAACCATAAAAGGTTGTTTTCAAATAACTTGATACAATATAAACTTTTTTTTAGTTTGCAAAATATGAAATGAAATTATAATTCAATTAGATTGTAATATGCCCTTTATATATTAATTTATAATATATATTATAGTATAGTTAACCTTAAGTAAATATAAAGTTATTATATACTTAGTATATATTTATATGTATACTTTGTATACAGTTTGGGTCAGCGTCTAGTCAGCAATCAATTGATTGATCAGTTCATTATAAACCACTGGTTAAGGAACACAATGTGAAATTTTTTAAACATTTAAAAGTCACAGCTCAAAAGATCACTTTAATATTTCTATATTAACTCAACAAATTATTTCGTTTGTTCATCTTACTAAGATGTATTGTTTCGAATACTTTAAATGAAAAGGTTATAAAATAAATTTTTTATCTTTTTAATTAAAATTTTTGTTAATTAATCTTTTTAATTAAAATTTTTATTAGGATCTTGCTAAAATAAAACTAAAAGTTCATAAATAAAAAAAACTGTTATTATACTTATTGATAAATTGAAATATGTTTATTGTCTTTTAATTAAATGATCGTTAATAGTAAGTTGTTACTTTATATAAAAGAGTGTCGCTTAATTTTATAAAAAAAATTATAAAAGAGTAAAGTTCAAAAATTATTAATTCTAAACGTAATTTATTTTGTTTTAGTTGATTTAGTTTTTTTATTTTGTTAATTCTTTTCTTTTTTTTAGGAAAGTTTTTTCTGTAATTTTCTCATGTCAGTCAAATTTATATTTTTTTGCGCATTTTTGAAATATTCTCAAAACATATAAAAAGCCATGGCCAAGCTGTTGCAACTAAATGTTGTTTGTGTAATCAGAAATAAACTGGGACCAAATTCCTGACCAAACCTGTATAGTGGTGCATTAGTTTTAAACAAGAAGAAAGTTCTAATAACATCTTAAAAAAACAATAGAGAAATAATGTTTCCACTGGTAGTACCTTGCTAAACATTTCTATACATAGTTTGTTTATGCTTTAAAGTTATAGGATTAAATAAGGGTTGACTTCATCACCAGGTCTCAAGCAGATAAATGCAGTTAAAAAAAAATTGATTAAATTGTTTAGAACTAGACAGCAGATAGTATAACATACTTGATTGTGTTACTAAAACTATTTTTAAAATGTTAAGAATGATGATTTTATGTTTTCTTTTGTTGTTTCTCATATTTAATCTTTGATTCTCATATTTAATCTTTTATATTTTAATAAATATAACTATTAACTATGGTATGAAATAATAATATAATTAACTTTTATAAGTTTATTTGAAGCATTATATTCAACTTTACATAACTATCATTTATTTCTTTAAATGATGATGATGATGATGGTGGTGGTGGTGGTGGTGGTGGTGGTGGTGGTGGTGGTGGTGGTGGTGGTGGTGGTGGTGGTGGTGGTGGTGATGATGATGATGATGATGATGATGATGATGATGATGATGATGATGATGATGATGATGATGATGATGATGATGATTATAATGATAATGATGAGTTAATGTATTTAGATATATCTGAGGTATGCACAGCACTCAAAAGTCATTATCTTACAAATTATGGAAAAATCAATGAAATTCAACCACCATTGAAATTACCTGCAAATGTTGATCTAATGCATAAATTTGTTGATCTATGTATTGTTGATGCTGTTACTACTCAAACAGATGCTGTTTATAGAGTTGAACGAAAGAAATTTCTTGAAAAGCAATTGTGTTATACACCGATTCCATATAGTGAAATATTTATGAAAGAAAAATCTGTAACATTAATATCTGGAATAGCTGGTATTGGGAAAACATGGTTGCTTAGAAAATGTTTGCTTGATTGGTCAAATGATTTAATTTGGAAAAATGTCAAGCTTGTGTTTTATTTTGAATGCAGAAGGCTTAATCAATATCAAAATATTTCTAATATTAATGAATTACTAAATTTTTTCTACAAAGATATTATAAATGATTTTAGTATTAGTAACCATCCTGCACTGTTTATAATTGATGGATTAGATGAGTTTAAATATTTAAATGAATTAATAAGTCACAGTTCGAGTTATAATTATCCGATTGTTAATGCTTTAACAGAAATTCAAAAATACAAATATGTAATTGCTGGTAGAGTTTATGCAATTGATCAATACCAAAGTATATCTACAGAGCATAGTGATAAGTTAACCATTCAAATAATGGGTTTTAATGAAAATGGAATAAATAATTACATAGAAAATAATGTTTTAGAAGAAAGAAAAGTTGTAGTGAAAGCAACATTAAAAGAATCTCCGATTGCAAAAGCCATGTCATCTGTTCCATTTTATTTGTCTTCCATGTGTAAGATTATTAGTGACTCAAAAAATGTAGATAAAAATTCTTTTTTAACAATGACAGATTTGTATGCAAATATTTTTTTATACTTTTTGCAAAAACACATCATCAAAAGCAATGAATTGATTTATCAGATCATGGAAAACGACTCCAATAAAAAATATGTTTTAAATATTTGTAAAATTGCATATCAATTGTTTGTTGAAAATAAAGTAATTTTTTCCAAAGAAGATATAAAAACTTTTATCAATGATTTTGATGAAAGTAAAGACAATTTTTTTGGATTTATAGAAAGGATTGAAACAAATCTAGGTTATTATTATCAATTTGCACATCTAACAATAATGGAGTTTTGTGTATCTGTATATGCATATAATTGTTTAAGTAGTGAAGAGATTATAGCTGATAAAAGGTTGATGAGTTGTTTGTCAATGATTTGTGGATTAACCAATGAAAGTCAAAATAGTTTATTAAAGTTTCTTGTTAACCTGAATCCCTCAAAACATTTTTCTGAAGAATCTTTAGGTAAGTCCTTAATACATTGTTGCATTACAGTAAATCATTTTATTATACAGGTTTATCTAAATAATGTTTATCAACATTTATCAAAGTTTATCTAAATAATATTTATTAACATTATTTAGAATAGTTTTTTTATTATGCTGTTTTATTTTTATTTCTTTGAATGATCAGCTCTTTATGTTTGGTGTGTTTATTTGGCAAGACTTTAAAAGAAATTTATAATATCTTAATATTATTTATTTTAAACAATATTAAAAATATAAAGTTGTATAGCATACAAAAATATAACGAATATACATTTATTGTTTTTAATTTATCTGTTTCAGTCATTATATACCTCATAAAAGCTGATGCAATGTTAGTTGATCTTTTCATAATTTTGAGTTATTTAAAAGATTTTCTTTTAAAAAACTAAACATAATTTAAAAATACACAGTTGTTTAGCACAAGTCTATATCTGCATATACTGTTTCTTTAATATTTTTTATTAAAGTATGGATTATAAAGCGAAGCATGAATTAAATTTTTTTATATTTCATAAATAATTTTTTGATTTTCATCATAACATTAAATTCTTTTAAATAAAGTAAACAATTGTTTCTAAAGATTGTTTAAGTTATACATTTTTTAAGCAGCATTTTTTTAGTGTGTTTTTAAAAGTCATTAAAGTTCAGACAAACAAAAACAATACATTAAGGATGAACATTTTAAGCAAATGTCCAAGTTACTGGTTTTTCAGGAACATGTCTTTGTTAATTTTTTTTCAGCTGATATTGTCTCTTACTAAATTTTTATTTAGATTCAATTATTTACTGAGTTAATCATACTGAGTTCACCTTCTCTAAACTTGACAAAGCTAATGATTTTTTATGATAGTTTATAAAGCGTTTAACATGGTTGGCAATGTGATTTGACAAATTGAGTGTTACATATAATTTACTTCCACAAACCTTGATTTTATGACATCACGATACAAAGAAATTTTGTTTTTAATAAGACAGAATAAGAAAAGTTTTATATTTCATTCATCTGATAATAAACTATTGCATAATAAATAGGCAAAGGAAGTTAAGGCTCAAATTCATATCCAAATCTGGAAGTACTGCATTCAACCTGCTTCTCAGCACAGCAGTCTTGATTAAGTGATCAATAAGTCACAAAGACTATCTGAGTAGGAGATCAGAAAAGACTTTATTACTAAATTTTAACTTTAATGAAAGCTGTGTCAATTGTACTAGAGCTAAGCTGTTCAGAGTGAGGTACAGTAAATTACCAGTAACAACAACATTGGTACTCAAATAATTAGGTAAGGCTTGAAAAAATTGGTCAGAAATAAAATTGGAAAAAGTACTAAAAAATAAGGAGAAAGGTGATTCAGTGATTAAG